TAGGGTTGCCAGGTGTCCCGATTTGCGCGGGACGTCCCGATTTTCAGGGTCTGAGGACGCGTCCCGATTTGCACCTGATCGGGACGCTAAATGTCCCGATAAATCAATAAATTTATTAAAAACCCATTATTATTAGAATCATGAAAAATTACGCATTACCTATTTTTAAATTTCTACTAGTCCAACAAGTCTGACTATTATTATGTAGGATTAAATTCTGGCATAGTCCTACTTGCAATGTTAGTTGCGAAGTTTTATTTAAAAAACGTTGTTTTTTTTGTTTGTCCCGATCTACAACCCTAAATCCCGATTTGTTTTACCTTCTGCCCCGATTTAAAACAAATCGGACCTGGCAACTCTATTGCTTTCCTACGTTTAAGGAAAATTACTTATTATTTGTGAACGTTCTCGAACCTTCTAGAAAATTCTAAAACATTCTCGAACCCTGTTAATGTAGGGGATTCAGGAAAAATTTGTGACATCCTGTAACGTTCTGTCAGAGCTCAATTAACACCTTTTATGACTCTCTTTGTGAAGTCTTTTTGGGCGATAATCTTTTAACTCCCATTTCATTGAAACAAGCCCATGTAACTGAAAACCGAAACCTTCTTAATGAAATGGGGTGGAAGGTTATCATACTACATAACCCTCATGAGGCTCCTGGATTTCACCCTATACAGTATATGCGTACCTACATGTTACTGCTTTCCCTATTTATTTCCTGATCGAACAGGTGGTAGTACATTTTAAATTGAAAATATGTTTAATCAGAAACAAATGCAATAACATCAATCAAAGAAGGATTGCCGAAAGAAAATTGAATATCAAATCGATATTTCATTTTTCAGTCCTCTTTATTTTTTCGTGTAGCTTTTTTTTAATATCAGCACGTTTCTTGATGTGTGTTTACGCGTTTCAGTATTTCATTAGGTAAGGTTTATTTTAACTTAAATTATCATTTGAGTACGTATACACATTTGAAATGTGTTTTTACGACACTTTTATAGTTCATGCGAAGATCGTCTTTTACCTTTTATAAAAAGGTTAAAGTTGACGTGATAAAGATGAAATCTGCCTTTTTTCATTTGAATTTTTTTATGATTATGTAGGTTTTCTCATTTTCTAAAAACGTAAAATTAGTAATTCAGCATAAACCATTTTTCTTGACAAACATTCCGCGTTTTACATCTCTATAAAATAAATCATAATACGTTCACACTGGAATGGAACTTTAAGGGAAGTCATTGTTTTAAAATTATAGAGTAAAATGCAAATAAAAGCGTAATACTTAAGTATATAAAATACTTTAGTAATATATAGAGTTGTTCGGAAAGTCATTTCGTTTTTTCCCAACAGAGGATTTAATTGTATTCTTTTACACCCAACTTCACATTTAAGCCGTATAATTTTTATATGCTTTGAGAGCTCATATAGCAAGGCTTGTGTGTGAAAAATTCCAATTAATTCTACGCAGTAGTTTTTGGTTGGTGCCCTTTTAAATATGGAGAGCGATAAGCAGCATTTTCGACATATCTTACTGTTTTACTACAGAAAGGGTAAAAATGCTGCTCAAGCCAGAAAGAAATTGACTGATGTGTATGGAGAAGGTGTGTTGAGAGTACGCCAGTGCCAGAACTGGTTCGCTAAATTTCGATCCGGCAATTTTGATGTCGAAGATGCACCACGTTCGGGAAAGCCGGTGGAAGCTGATAAAGACGCGATAAAGGCATTAGTTGATGTGAACCGGCGAATAACAACACGTGAGATCGGATTGAGGTTAAATTTATCAAATTCAACAGTTTATGACCACTTGAAAGGCCTGGGATTATCCTCGAAGCTCGATGTATGGGTTCCCCATGTTCTCACAGAGAGAAATCTGTGTCGCCACATTGACGTCTGCGATTCGCTTCTCAAACGTCAAGAAAATGATCCGTTTTTGAAGCGCATCATCACTGGGGACGAAAAATGGGTTGTATACAACAACGTCAAACGCAAGAGGTCATGGAGCAAAAAAGATGAACCGGCTCAAACCATTTCCAAAGCCGATATTCACCAAAAAAAGGTGATGCTGTCTGTTTGGTGGGATTTTAAAGGAATCGTTTTTTTTTGAGCTTTTACCGGATAACACAACGATTAATTCGGAAGTCTACTGTCATCAGCTGGACAAACTGAATGATGCACTTCAACAGAAAAGGTCAGAACTAATTAACAGGAAAGGTGTAGTGTTTCACCAAGACAACGCGAGACCTCACACAAGTTTGGTCACTCGCCAAA